TAAACACTGAAAATTTACAGTAACTGGTCTGCTCTAGTTTCCTTGTAATAGTTACAGCAGTAGATAAGAAGAACCTAGATAACTGATGTGTCATTGTGTCTGAATGAACTGAAGCTTTTTGGGCTTTCAGGTCCTATCAGTGCTCCTGGGAATGTTAGCATTTTGAATATTACCCAGCATTCCTCAGTAATTACGTGGAGCCCTGTGTCTGAGGAAGACCTGCGTGGATTCTTATTGGGCTACTGCATCTACTTGACAGAGGACAATAATGAAACATGTGAGTATGAGTCAGTCATAAAGTTATGTTTATTCATGTTTTATTTTAAAGTTAAAAACAATCATTAGGCATTATTACTAGTGGATTTTAAATCCCTTAAATTTACATTTCATTGTCAACACAATAATGTTTCTAAAAAATTTGAATAAATCTGAAAAAATTCACACAATTTCCAGTGAGCTAACATTACGAGAATCACTTTATCACATGTTTATCTTCTGTTCTTATGTCTTAAAAGATTTAGTTTAATTTTTCCAATGTAATAGCTCACTAATTAATGGCTGGAAAACGTTTTGACAAAATGATTGAAGACAAATGGGAACTGCTCTAAAGTATGATTTGATAGTCCATGCTTTCAGAGAGTTTCAAGTTTGTTAGCAAAAAAAAAATAAAGAAGCTTTTATTGTTATTGTTGTTGTTATTGTATGATAATAAGGCTATAAATGTGGCATTGTTTTAAATGCAGTCTTTGTGCTATATTTTGTTTATGTGCTTTTTTTTTTTTTTTTTTTACCACATTCAACATTTACAGCCTTCAAAGTGGATCCCAGCATAAACAGCTATGAGCTGCAGAATCTTGAGAGCAACAGTGCGTACCGTGTGCAGCTCTCTGCATTTACTGCAGCTGGAGAAGGAGAGCGCAGTGATTTCACACACTTTGTCACAAAACTGCCAGGTAAACTCATATTTTTCATGAGATAATGTCTGTTACTGATCTGGGATTTAAGGTTTATCTGTTCAAAATACACACTAAATCTCTGGAGGTTTGTTTTTTAATCACATGGACTGAAATAGTCACATACGTACTGACTACATGGCTTATTCTGACAGAATTCACAGCTTTGAACAGCATTATAGCCGCGGTCGTTGTAGGAATAATAATTCTTTTACTAGCGGTTCACTTCAGCTTCCGGCTTCTGCACAGGTAGAGACACTTGCATTTTATGTTCTGAAAGATTGCCATATATAACCAGTCACTACCCCTGCATGTCTGTCATCTAATGTGGCGCTCACTGTGCATTTTTACAGAGCCAAGAAACTGCTGTGGCCGAGTATACCAAATCCTGAGAACAGCAATGCTGTTCAGAAAATTGAAATTGCCTATGAACTGGTAAGCAAGAGACAATATATACGGCTGAAACAATAATTTTGTTGTCAAGGAAAATAATATACAAAAAATGGTATACAAACACTACTGAGACAGTGCCACAAGTACAGTAAAGTTGACACCGGCCCTCCAGGACCGAGTTTGGACAGCCCTGGTTTAAATGGTACAGAATCAGAAGCAGAAATTGCTAAGTATGTTTGCACATACAGGGAATTTGTTCTGTGGTATCGCACACTGGGGAGAGCATTTAACTGTTCATGAAGTAGATTGCCTGTGAAGTACGCCAAGGTACTTCACATAATATCATTGTTTTACCATAGTGCATGTCTGTTCGATTATATTATACTCTCTGCCAGATATTTCTGTGAGTTTGCCTGTCTGCCCTCCCTCCTCCCTTCTCTCCCTTTGTCTTTTTCCCTCCTCCCTTCTGTGTTCTCTATCTACTCTCTTTCTTCTTTCCTCTCTCTATCCCTTATTTTATACACACATGCATATACGTATATCTCCTTTTGGCTTCAAATGATGAGATGATGGTGGGGCCCTTTGGGACGAGGTTATTGAGTTTGGTCTGTCCGATGTACAGAGTGCATTTGGGAGAGTACTTCTGCCTGATGTACTCCTATAATATGTTTAGAACTTCCTGATCATATTCCCATTTTATATAACACACATATGTAATCCATATCTTATTGGTTGAATTGGGTACACCACCTCTCATAATATGTCTGTATATACCATTGTACAAGACAATAAAAACAAAGTTAGGCAACCTCAGATTTGTTTTGTCTGCCTTGCCTTTCTTCCCGTCCGTTACACTCTGGGGGACTGAGAATATCTTGGTGATGACGAGAAATAACAGGATTAATTTTTAACAATGTCCAAAAAGCATATTCTGCTTGTTGGTTGGGCCACATGACATTGATTTTGAAAACATACATACATTACATTTCAAACATACAACAATACATTTCAAATGTTAATAAGCTGTGAAGCACGTTCTAAGAAATAATAGATGAGATTATAATTATAGAATAATAAGATTATGCCGAACTACTTAATAAGGTTTTATTTTCAAGAAATTCATTGATTTAACAAACCTGCTTTCTTCATTATATCAGGGCAGTTGTATCAACCGGAAAATTTTGACTTTATGCCACCCAAAAAAACATCAAAATGACTTAATACAACCATTGAAAGCATGCACAATTGCACATAATAGAAGAAGTGTATCTCAAGTAATTATATGCATGCTACCATTTAAATATTTGGGTCAAAAGCCTAAAGCTGCATTTGTTTGATCACAAATACAGTAACAATATCGATATTGTGAAATATTATTAAAATAACTGTTTTCTATTTTATTATTTTGGAATATGTAAATTATTATTGTGATGACAGTAATACCATGGTACTATAATGGTACATGTCCAAAAGAACACAGTGTTACAATGGTACCATGTCCAGAAAACCATGATCCATGAAATCCCATGGAAGTTTGTGTAAGTGTACATTAAGTTTCAGTTTATGACGAGACGTTTGAACATATTCATGCGTGAATTCATTATTTGAATCCTTTGGCCACTTTCTGCCATGTGTTTCTTCTGCAGGGTATCCTGGAGCCACTGAACAGACAGAGGTTAGAGGAGAGTGAGGGATGTGATTCTAGTACGGTGTGTGTCGTTGGGAGCAAGAGGGAGGCATCTCCTCTCAGCAGCCCTCCTACCACCCTTCTCCTCAGTGAAGATGAGGACAGCCCATCCATCCCGGAGGAGATCGCACCACCTGACATCCCAACCAGAGAGTCTGTTATCAAAGAGACTCTTCCTACGGACTTTAATAAAACAGACTCCGTTTTGAGCACTTCTCTTGATGAAGAAGTCACAACCTTTGAAAGCAAAGACCCTGGAGAGATCGTCTCCAACACGACAGTATCGGACTTCGTCCCAGCATCCCAACCTGCTGTGGTTTTCATGAGCGATTACACTACCATGGAGATCTTCCAGCAGGTCACTATGACTGGGATTCAGGGTCCATCCATACAAACAGTAAAACCTGGATTGGTTGCTGTACATCCAGGGCAGGATTATGTTCAGCAGTCCTATTTTTTGGAAGAAATAGTCAAGGAACCACCAGTGGCATTTAACGGTACTGATGTTTTGAACCCAGAAATCACAGTGCTTTGAGATGCTCTTATCCGTTGATTTAGAGGACACTTACTATACAGACACAATCCCTCTGGGGCACTCTGAGATTAGGAGCTTAAATTCAGGGTACAATGTTCATTGTCCTATTCCTGACAGCTTTAGCTGCTACTCAACACCTCCCATAAAAGATGGAATACGCTACTTGTATTGACAGTGAATTGGACTCAGGTCTCCGAATTCTACCTCTGAAGCACCAGTTCTTGTGACAGAGACCACTGCATCAATGACACAGCCCTAGATGTTCCTTAAAAGGGGTCATGAAATGCATTTTCAGATCTTTATATTATGTTTCTGGAGGTTATCAATGTTTTATTGCATAAAAAAAAATTGTAAACTACGACAAGTTTCCATCCTTATTTTCACTATTTCACAAACACTTAATTTCAAGGGGTTACCTTTTAGAAATGCAATTTTTTTCCCCCCCAAAAAATGTTCTCCTGGTGTTCCAAAGGAAAAAAAATGAAACGAAACAAAGGGTGGGGAATTTTTTTTTTTTTGGTGCACTGTCGCTTTAATTATAATTGTACATGATCTGTACAGAATATACTACTATATTTTCATGTGAATGTACAGTGTTACATTATATTTTTAAAATATATCATCTGCATTCGTTTTTTTTTTTTTTATATATATTTTATAACCGTAAGGACTATTACACAAATTTAGGGACTTGCAACTTGAATTTCAAAAACATGGTAAGGAGTTTAACATTCGCAAGCACCATTCACATTTTCTTCAGAAAATGTAAACAATTACACAATAAGAAAAACATACTGCAGTTGATAAACTGGAAGTATAATAGCTCTTTAATGTAAATTTCATGTTAGGGAAAATCTTTTATACACGTATGTCTAAACAGATGCACAAAATCACACAAATCAATATAATTCAGAAGTTACTTAGTTCTTAATCATATTAGTTTTGCTGCTAACAAGTACTGTATATATACCCACTTAGAAAGACAATATTAAAAAATAAATAATATTCGGAAGCTTAAAGCTTTAAATTGTAGTTATTTTGAATGAGACAGCAGTCACTGTTAATAACGTTACTGTGCTCATCAATCAGTAAAGGCTCCTTAGAAAACCTATTAAAACATCTGAATATATGCCACACAACAATCCTTGTATGAAGAGTTTTCTGTAGGACTCTGTATACACTGGTTCAAACAAAATACTGTTAAAAAATAAGGATAAAACTATGCATTTTACAGAAGCTTTAGTATAATACTCGATAAATAAGTCGTTTGACTTGATTTACATTGTTGTTAAATATTCTGTTGTCACACAAACTGTCTAGGCACTTTTAACATGCACTGTGTAACTACACAGTTCACTCGGAGTGTTATAATACACATGTACTAATTGTATATATATATATATATATA